GTAAGAGTTTTCTCAAAATCTTGGTCTCGTCTCTCTCCCATTTTCTGCTTAGCCTTCTTTTCAGATTTGTGTTCTCTCCAAAGCGCTTCTGTTTCTTATGGCGCAGCGATGTCCATGTTATCATTCAGTGCCGTCAGTGCATCACGAACACGGCTACCAAAAGTGCTAATACTGCGACTCCTACCACCATTGCTAGAAAAGACAATACTTGACTGCTACTTCTTCGCCCATAGGAACGAATGCCGCGTGCTGCTGTTACTCATACTGCCGTCACCACAATTACAGCTATTTCTATGACTATGCTCTTCCTAAATTGCGATGGCCTCCAATCCTCTCCTTTCGACATGCCAGCGCCACTACGCATCACTTAACCCAGAAAATGCATGTTATATCACACTTCTGGTTGCACTCTCTCGCCGAGTTAGTTGTTAAGATCGAACTCCTATAACTAATAACGCTTTTCTGACTATATTACTTCTACTAACTTCTTTTAATACTTCTATTGCTTTCACGACGAAGTACAGTACAATTATTTCTTCAAGCGTTGCAGTGATATTTATGATTATTCGTTATGTTCACATTTTAATCACCATGAGACATTTAGAATTATTTCCGATAACAACAATCATCAGAAGTGGTCGTTCGGTAGTTCCACTTTATTATTACTTCAATTAGCATTATCATTGACGCGCTTGATGCTAAAGACTTATATTACTTCTGCTGTGGTTGATTATGATCATTATCGTAATTATTACTCTTAATCTTTTAACTGTCATTTATGGATTTATTAATTTTAAAAGCGTCTTTGTTACTGACTTAATTTTTACAAGTATAATTAGTATTCTAGGATTACTATTCTTATCATTACTATCATAATCGTTATTACTATGATCATCAATTTCATAGTTATACTAACTATTATCATTATAACCGTAGTTGTTATCGTTACCCATACTATCACTGCTATCATTATCATTGTCATTTTCACTTACTGTTATAATTATCTTTACTATTATTTTATCACGTTTATTAACATATCATTATCATCATTATCACTATCATGACTGTCATTGTTATCGTTATCATTCTTCTTTTCTTATTATTACTCTTATTATTAGCATCATAATACTATTATTGTCATTATCATTATTGTTATTTATTTATTATAATCATTATTATCATTGTCGTAGTTATTATCACCATCATTATTACCATTGTTATGGTTAATAAAACTATCATTAATCATTGGATTGTCTTATCATTATCATCTTTTTATTTCTATCATTATTTATTCATACTATTTACCATCATTACTATCATTTGTATTATCATTATTATTGTTGTTATTCTTATCATTATCATTATCAGTATTATCATCACCATTATCATTATTATTATCATCATTATCATTATTATTATCATTATTATCATTATTATCATTATTATTATAATAATCATTATTTATTATTATTATTATTATTATTATTATTTATTATTATTATTATTATTTATTATTATTATTTATTATATAATAATTATTATTATTATTATTATATTATTATTTGTTATATTATCTATTATTTAATTTATTATCATTTATTTTAATTTATTCATTATCCATACCATTATCATTATCATTACCATTATTACCATTATATCCACTATAATCATTATCATCACCATCATCATTATCATTATTCTTGTTATCATCATTATCATTAGTCTTGTTATCATCATTATCAATATTATTATCATCCATATTTATAATTTTTGCTGTTATCATCATTATGATTATTACTGTTATTGCCATTACCATCATTATTACTATCATTATTATTGTTGTTTTTATATTCAGTATCATCACTATCATTATAGTAATTATTGTCATTATTATTATCACTATTATTATTATTATTGTTGTGTTGTTATATTATCATTATTATCATTATCATTATCATTATATTATATTATTATATTTTCATATCGTTATTATTATTATTATTATCATCAATTATCTTTTTTGTCATTTGTTCATTATCATATTACCATCATTATTGCTATTACTATTTATTATTGCTATTATTATTATATTTATTATTATTTTATTATTATTGATAATATCATTATCATAATTATTATTATTAACATTAGTATCATCATTATACTTCAATATCCTTATCATTATCATTATTATACTATCATCATATATTATCATTATCATTACTATCAATTCATTTTTATCATTATCATCATTTTATCATTTCTATTATCATAATTTCGCCATCATTATTGCTATTACTGAGTTATTGCTATTGTTATTATATTAGTAGCAGTAGTAATGTATAGTTTGTAGTGTAGTACCATATGATCATTGTTATTATGATTGTATGAATATTTATTACTGGATATTAATAATGATATCATGATCATTATTATTATGGTTATCATCATTAGTATTATTACTGATATGATTAGCACTATTATAATTTCATTCACATCCACTTAATTTCTATCTCACCATCATCATTACGGTTATTCTCCTCACTCTTCTCATCATATTAATCACCCTAATTACCATGACAAATTTACATGCCCTTCACCCTCCCCCCACCCCCCTTCGTGTTACCCCTGTCCTTTCTCCTCCCTCGTTGTAAACCCCCTGGCCCCTCACCCCCCCCCCCCTTCGGTAACCCCCTTGCCCCTTCACCTCTTACCCCTCGTGTACCCCCTTCTCACTCCCCTCACCCCCCCCCCCCCTTGCGTTGTATCCGTGGCTCCCAACAAACTCCAGCCCCCTGGACTCGCCGTCATTGGACCCATCTAGTACTGCGTCTCGACATGGACCCTCCACATTCTGACCTCCCCGCTCCTGTCTCCCCCACAGCTCTCCTGGACGCATCAAGCAGCCAATTGCGCTGTGTGAGCATAGCAGATGCTACGACATTCGCGGTACGAGGCGACGTGGTGCGAGGCTCTGATTGGCACGAATATCCTTCATGCAGAAGGGCAGCGTAGATGCAGGATTGCATCGTAGGGCCTGCGGGGAGGCGGCTTCCTGCGGCTGGTGCAGGAGGACCCTCAGTCAAAGTTTGAGGGGACCTCCAGCCGGCGCGCCATCATGTTATGTCCTCGGTGCGCGCGTGCGTATGATCCGCGCCAGGGCCGACCCTATATTGGGCGGCACTCCGCCTGAGAGCGTAAAACAGCGTGAGCCCGCTGAAGTTCGGTCTGCTCATTCGCGACGGACGTGCACGCGTCGTTTACCGCCCGTAGTGTGGGCGTGCTAGCGCACGCCTGCACAGCCCGCGGCTGAGCGGAGCATACCTTCCGGTGGGAATGGTATGTCAGAGGCCGGAGGCCGACCAAGAAGGCTGGGCAAGCCGCGCCCCCTCCTGCGGCAGAGTAATGGGCGGTGGAGACGACGGAGAGAAGAGCGCCCCGGCGGAGAACTACTACGAGAAACGCCCCCACGATTCGCTGAGGGAGGAGAGGAGAAGGAGAGGCTGAGGAAAAGGAAGGCCACCGAAGGAGGAGATCCTCGGAGCCTGAGCGAGAGACGGAGACTCCTCACCGGCGTTCGCTCAATTCTTTCGATGACTCGAAGTGAGTCGCCGCTTTCAGGTGATGAAGTGTTCGAGGATGGCAGTTTGGATTTCGGGATGCCGTTAGAGGATGGATCCCTTCGTTCTACTTTGGTTCGAGTTTGGGCGTCTACGAAGAGGAAGCTATGGGTTCGGGATGCCGTTAGAGGATTGGATCCTTCTATCGCTTCTGTTTCTGGTTGTTTGGGTTTGAAGTCGTGTTTATATTTACCAAAGCGCGTGTTTGTATGCAGTAAAAGGGAAGACACAGGGCCTAGACCTTGGGTAGGAAGATGATCATGATTCTCTAAAATAAGCATTGGGAAATTGTGTCATCGTTGTTATTCATATTTGGTCTTGAAACCGCAATTACCTCATCACAGGCACGTATTCATACCCGGTGTTTATGCGAACGGCCCGACAAACATGAGCATCAGAGACAAAACAATCAGACACGGCGGACGAGAATACACATGACCTTTCTCTACCCAAGTGAACATGGCCTAAAATAGGATAAAATCCCCCAAAACAAGATCCAAAGAGGCGTATCCTGACCAAAACCGGATCTGGAGTCAGGTCAGCGTCCTCCGGCAAAGGAACAAAATGACCTGCACGCGACCAGACCCTCTCGCCTCCGCCCGACACCTCACACCACTTCCTTCTCAGAACGCGACGGATGAAGAAGCTTGTTGTGTGATCACGCTCCTCTCGCTGTCATGTTTTTTATTTTGTTTTTCTCTTTATCACTTTAAGGAAATAAACAAAATAAAAAACTTCGACATATAGGCAAAACAATATCTATACGACCCATTTAACCCGTTGAGACCCAAATAAAAGACTTTGACCCCCGAAATAAGGACGTAAAAAACAATAATTCAACATGCGTGTTATGAAGGGTACGCCAGAGTGGGAGGTGACACAATAAAAGTAATGAAGCGTTGACCTTTAAGATGCAACTCCTTCAGATGTGGTTGATACGGGGAATCCTGTATGCCAATCCTACAGTATGGGAAATGATGCAAATCTTATATTGATGCCTTTTTGTATCATTATTATTATTATTTGGGCGAATTCCTTGTTATTCTTTAAGTGTTCAGATGTTCAACTATATAGAGTGAGAATTTTATATCATTTTCTGAATACTGTCGAGGAGTGTATGTGTTTATGTATATGTATGTACGTGTGTGTGCGTATTTGTGTATGTGTACGCATGAATTTTGTGCAGTTTTCGTGGTACTGTCAACTAGTGTTCATGAATATATATGAAGAAAGAAATGTATTTAAACCGACATAGTTCAGAAAGAGCCAAAGATTTGTATAAAATAGAAATACATGTAAAAAATATTAATAAATAACCAATGATAAAGATTTTCTGTGATATAGCCTTATCATTTTTATAATAGGAAATTAATATAGATT